AGCTGCATGAATCATGACAGCAGACAAGATAGAGGAGAGCAGGAGGCGGGGTTACCAATCTACTTGCTCTGGAGAGCAGAGTTCGCTGCTTTTAGATGTTGTCGCCAAAGTCTCATGTAGCAGAAAAAAGTTACTAGATTTGGCGCTAGGCGCTTTTTGAAATAAAATTGCTACAGGCGTGTGAAAAGTCACTAAATATAGCGACAAAAGTGCTAAGTTGGCAACACTGCTCTTTGCATCGTTTTAAAAATGGTTCTCTACTGTTTATCTGAACCTTTCTGAACATGTGCAGCAAATGGACTGATCCAATATGGTGGACACTGGACACTGAAGGGCGGGGCTGAGACACACTAAATGTTATAAGCGTTCTGATGGCATTTTAGCAAAAGGATTTTAATCAAATCATGATTAATGTGCATGTAAACAGAGTTTTATGGGGGCCCAGGAACTTGGGGCCCTAGGCAACTGCCTAATATTGCCTAATGGTAAATCCCCCCCTGCCTGAGACTTTTGAAAAACTATGATCTTCTGATCTAAAGAAGGTTGGTTGTAAAGAAGTTGAAGTAGAAAAGCTTTACTGTATGCAAAAAGAAAAAAAAAAGAAAGAAAGTAGACATTTGCTGCTTCATCAGAAACTGAAAAAACACAACCAGGTCATTTGATTAATCCCTAATCATCAGTTCTGGCAGTTCGCTGCTCTGGAGTTTACACAACGCCAGACTTGAAAGACTGCGGCAGTTAGCTTAGAGAAGAAGATTATGGCGTCCATCATCGAGGAAGCGTTTAAAGGTCATTATAAAGCCAACCTAAAGTTCATCATCAGACGAAGTAAATAAATCCAGACGGAGCAGAGGCTCCCTAACTTTTTCATATCATAGCCCACCAAAGACCATATGTACTGGGAGCACTGGGTTTAGCAGCCCCTTTTCTACTGAAAGACCCGGTGTTGTGTCAGCTCAGCATACCCCGTCAGGCCAGCATACCCACAGTAATACACATTAAATTAAGTTTTCTGTCTCTGCTCTCCTTACAGCCAATCACGCTGTTTTATTTCCCGATTTAGTCCGTTTTTTGTCTGTTCTGTTTAGTTTTGTGCTTAAACAACAAAACAGTCCTTCACTAGGTCTGTTACACACATTAGCTTTTTTTTTTTTTTTAAAGAAAAAATTGCATGTCATTTTGACGAGGATCTTATTAAAGAATGATTGTCATTTTTTTCCACAATGAATTAAATATTTATAGGGAGAGGATTCTACAAATCAGGTGACAAGATATAAGATTTATTTGCTTTTACTTTGTTTGATATCAGCAATATGCGGATAATTTTATTTTTATTTGCACATGAAGCACATAAAGAACTACTGAAATTATTTCAGATTACAACTAAAAAGATTAATTCATTCTGCGGAGGGAAAATGAATAACTTTAGGGTTAGGATTAGGGTTCACTTGGTGATAACCTACTGAGCCTACTGGCACAATCTGAAGCTGTTCTATGGGACTGATAGCTGCTAATAACGAACATGAGTGTGCATGCTTATTAATAAGGGTATGCTGGCCTGATGCAGTATGCTGAGCTGACCAGATTTAAAGCCCCAGGGTTTGTATTACTCAGGTAATAGAATCCTGGCTAATTGCTTAGCTGCATTCCCCTGAAGAGGAACTACAATACATTCAATGTTTCCATATGAAGGACATCCAATGTGTCCATCTGAGGGACATCAAATGTGTCCATCTAAAGGATGTCCTGGGGAGGGTGTTTGGGCTCTGCAGAGCTGATAGCTGATCTTCTCCTGACCATAGACCTGTACCAGTCATGGAATGTCCACCTGATGATCCTCTCTGCAGATGTGATCATTTGTCAAAGTTTGAACCAAACCACACAGAGATGGACGGTCTCCTCTGGAAGGCTGGACTTCCTAAGATCCTGTTGGAATTGATGACAGAAAGAGGCTTGACAAGTAAACCTTTTCAGGAAGGACTAAAACGTTTCCGTCTAAAAAGCTAAATTAGACTGCAGGACAAAACTCCAGCTGAGTTAACCAGAAAAGTTCTGGAGCAGATGAGACCATCCCACCCTGGTTTTTAAATCCAAAGCATCAGCTTTATGTTCATGTTTGTGTCCAGATCATAGCGATGAAGGACGGCTCCGTTCTCAGGGAGGGAACCTTGAAGGACATTCAGACTCACGACACAGAGCTCTACGATCACTGGAAAACTCTGATGAACAGGCAGGACCAGGAGCTGGAGAAGGTAGCTTCTAGATCTTTCAGTCTCTCCCACAGGTACGGACTCTGGGTTTTTATCTGTCCTGATGGATCTGCAGGACATTCAGCAGGACAGTCAGACGCTGCTGGAGAGGAAGACCCTGAGGAGAGCTTTCTACTCCAGGGAGCCCAAGAACCAGATGGATGATGAGGATGAAGGTGAGGAAGCTGCTGTGGAAAACCTGGTGCTTCCTTTTGATCCCTGTTTCTTTGTTTTTTCTTACAATCTAAAATTATTTTTCCAGAGGAGGAAGAGGAGGAGGACGACGATGACGACTTTTCCACCACCACCAGCAGGCGGTCAAAGATCCCTTGGAAGGTAACCATGGTAACCTAATCGTGGTCCAATCAGAGTGGGCCAGAGTCACCTGACATTCACACTAATACATGACTTGACTCTGACTTGTTATCAGACACTCGGTTCTCATTTGATGAAAGATTAAAGGTAGTGTGTTTATTGAGACGACGAGCTTAAAACATCATGTTAGCTGGAGCTTCATGACGACGAGAGCCTCGGAGATTTGACCTGGGCCTGTTCCTTAAAGACCCACGAATCAATTTGGACTAGTCTCTTAGAGACTTGATTTACTTTTGCCCCTCAGAGATTTGTCACTCAGTGAAGTGTGAACTTGACTTGGACTGATCCCTCAAAGACTTGACTTGGACTTGTCCTTTAGGGACTGAAGATTTTGATATGGACATGTCTGTCAAAGATTTGACTCAGGCATGTAATTCAGAGACTTGAGGACTTGACTTGGACTTGTCTCTTAGCGAACTAAGAACTTAACTTTGACTTGTTCTTTAGGGACTTACAAATTTAACTTGGACCTGTCTATCAGAGATTTGACTCAGGCATAATGACTTGCCTTGGACTTGGAAAGAATAACTTGTGAAGATCTGTGTTTCCGTGTCTTCAGATGTGCTGGTGCTACCTCTCCTCCGGTGGCTTCTTCATGGTCTTCCTCATGGTTTCCTCCAAACTCCTCAAGCACTCGGTCATCGTCGCCATCGACTACTGCCTGGCCCTGCTGACCTCCACCAACTCCAATCACACGGAACCAGACATGCAGAACAGGTCCAGCTTCACCAACGGCTCCTCAGACTTCTCCGATGTTCCTCCACAACCTGAGGTGAGAAGATCACAGAAGATCAGAGCTTTAATGCTTCATGTTCTTCTGCTGACCCAAAGCAAAACAACAGAGAAGATTAAAAATCTCATTGCACAGTGCGTATGCCCGGCTTAAGCTCTCGCATGATAATGTGGAAAGAAGATAGAAAATCAACCATAATGCAACTTGTAAACATGTGGTTCTTATCAATGAATGCAGATTAATGTAAGTAAATATGGTTTTGAGACTTTATAGAGACATTGGAGTGGACGTGTTACAGTCCGTGTCTGATCTAACGCCTCTATCATGATGTAACTTCACAACATAATAGTTCAAGCATTTTTTAAATATCCAAACTTTTTAGCCATTCCTTAAACATTAGCATTTAAACTTTAACATGGCTGCAAATACGAAATGGCCTGAGCGAGAATATTGTTTCATTCACTGCCATGTGGTTTTCAGCTGGCCCACAGCTTTGATTAATAGACTTTAATGAATGATAAAACATCATGTTTGACCATTTCTTGGTTTGTCGCTGTTAATTTAACACGTTCCTTTAATACAATCGATACTTTAGATGCTGATAAGCTACAAAGAGTCCAAAGCTTTAGACTCAAACAAGTTCAGATATTCAATTCAATTTATTTATTTCTATGGCGCCAATTCACCACAAATGTCATCTCAAGCCATTTTACAGTTCACCAGATCATCCAGTCAGATTGATTCAAAGTTTTGTATCTAAGGAAAACCAGTTGATTGCATCGAGTCATTCCAAAAAAAGGTAAAAAACAATCCACTGGACTTTGTTTCAAAATTTGAAGACGTTTTGCTTCCATCCAGGAAGCTTTTCAATTCAAAATGTCAGGAATAGCGTTGAGTTCCAGGCTTTATGCAGTAGCCCAACAAAGCCTTGTTTTTGTTTTTAAAACATGCTAATTGAAATGGACAAACGAGTCTACCCCTTTGGAAAGGGGGGGAGTTTGGAGTTTAAAGTGAGGGTGTGCAGTGAGGAATGCTCTGATCTTTATATTGGAGAAACCAAACAACCTCTCCACAGACGCATGGCTCTACACAGAAGAGCGACCTCCTCGGGACAAGACTCTGCTGTAAGTCTCCGTCTTATGGACAAAGGACATTCTTTTGAGGACCAGAATTTTTACATTTTGGACAGAGAGGAGAGGACAGGTGGTTTGAGAGGGGTGTGAAGGCAGTCATCTATGTTAAGAAAGAAAAACTAACCTTAACCAGAGGGGGTGGACTCAGATTTCAGCTTTCAAAAACCTACAATGCAGCAATTGAGTTGATTCCTTCATGCTATCATGGCAACCCGTCCCCTTTATTGGGGAATAGAAGACCTCACCTATTCAGCCAGGCCAACAATTCCCTCGAATGACCCCTCTTTCAGAAACATAGACAGGTATGGGGCATTGCAGGCG